TTACCGTAAAGTATTTTTTTTGAGCGTTATCTCCTGCGCACTTTTTGAACAGCCTCTCCTGTCGTCATTTTACAGCTTATTCAGTGGCGCATGAAACACAGCTAAGAGTTATCAGCGGCAGTCATCAAATTGAAATGCAGCTGAGAGGACAGCATTACCAATGATTTTCTCTTGGCATTTCTACTAATTCTAATGTATTTTTTAGCTCTAGACATTTTTTTGGAAGGAAAGGGAAATGATCTGGCCGGCTTATGTGTCCATTGTTTGGTAGAGGGACAGTGGAGTAAAAGAAGAGCCGTTTAGTAGGGGACATTGCTTAGAGAAGTTTCGCTAGATAAGCTATTTTGCCGCCATTTATGCTTGTCACTTATTCCTCACTTCAGTTCTGCTCAGCCACTTCTATCTGCGCTCTATCTATCTTCATGAACCACTCCGCAATAAACTCTTCCAGATGATTAATGGCCACAACAGTTGTTAATAACAGTCCCAAAACACTAAACGGTGGCGGTTATCAAAAGACATGGCTTTCTTCCTTTGCGCGATAATGCAACATTCAGATATCATGGATCGGCTTGCTTGTCTCTGCCACCAAATCAGCGTGGCAAGTGTTCTCGGAAGTCAGAAGAACTCATATGTGTAAAAAAGAAAACGTTAATGTTGTCGAATAGAGTCAAAGATAGCAATAGCATAATGATCAAGCCATAAGAAGTCGCCTGATCTGTGAAATTTACTATAATGAAATTTGCAAGTTAATGATACTGTTTGATATTTTACCCTTGTTTTTATCTAAAACATTGCATTTATTGCCTTGGCACAACGAGTTCTCTTGTGAGGCATGTGGAATTGCTTCTACAATTACTTGTTACCACTTACAGTTGTTGGTCTAAGTGTCAGCACAAGTACAATGCGGCTGAGGGCGATTATATTAATAGTCGATGGGAAAAGTTGCTCAAAAGGTAATTTAATCATGTGCCTTAACCCAAAGAGTGCTCCCTCTGACTGCGTTGGTCACTGACATAATAGCGCACTTTGTATATTCCACACTGCATCACATTAGCTTTTACCAGAATGAGCCTTCGCCTCTTTTGTGCAGCTCTGTGTGTTTCTGACTGCGGTTGCATTATGGATTTACTCAATTTCTGTGGTGTGAAAATACCGGAAAGATATTCCTCATCCTGTCTCAAGGGGATTGTTAAGCAAAATTTATAATATTGATTCGTTTTATGCAAAGAGGTGTGCTTTTGAAGCAAATAAAGCTGGTTTAATGACTTATTTTTCCAATTGCAAAGGCGACTACATAAGTGCTCGCGTAATCTACTAAAAATACTAAACAAAGAGTTAAAGTACTGCAATCATACCGATTCCATTTCTTTCATTTCTCTAGTTTTGGCTTGTCTTCTCTTTATTCCACATTCTACATAAAGCACTTTTGCTAAACTTTATGCAAATGCGCCTACTCATCAAGAGATCTTTTCAATACTACCAATTTACTGTCAAATATTCTCCCCCCATGAAGTTGGGATGAACGTGCACAGAAGCGCTTGGCATTGACACTTTAATAATAGTCGGCGAATTGGCGTGATTTATTCTCCAATGGTGTGTATTCAGCAGAATAAAACCAAATTTTTTTAATTCTAGGCCATATTTATGCTTGAGTCTTTGCGCTGAGCAAGAAATTTTACACTCCTTAATTTCTTTAGGCACACACTTCTCGCTGAATAAAATTAAAACTATATTACCGCTAAAATAAGCGACATATATCTATTTCAGTTTCTTTCTTGCATGTCTAATTTTTTACTTAGGAAGGTCATTTACGGACCCACTAAGAAATTGCCGACTTAGATAATTTTATTGCAAATAACCTGGTAAATCAGGGATGATGATAAGGGGAAATTCAAAGCTAACATCAATTTTTCTTATTAAAGTAGGCCCGCATTTATGAAACATTGCATAAATCTTACTTTTCCTGATGGAGTCTGGAGAAATCACATATTATGACTACATTGCATCTGGTTGCTGTAACCGGGCGTTAACGAATATTCTGACACTAATAACTCATTAGTAGACCTTAATCTCTAAACATTTAGTTGTGTATTTATATTTGTTTACCAAGTTTTTAGCGCTCTCACTTTTCATGTGATCGAAAATTGGAGATTTCTGCGTTTTAAGGCTAGTGAAAGACCGATTCTCATTAAATGAATGAGTCACATATAATGCAATTATTTGAATGACCGACAGGAAAGTGGCCATTATTTTTACTTAACGATAAAGCAGGGATTTTAATTTAAAGCCACAACTTGATAATATTATGCCCGCATTGAAAGTGATATCACATTCTTACACCTAGGTTTCTAGAGCATTATGACAGACATAATTAACGGGAAAACGAGATTATTTTCTTACTGCATTTGACTTGTTCCACAGCAAGTCATTCATATACTATCACAAAAGGCTGTTTTATGTCAAAACGTGTGTATTTTGCACACCCCATATGAACAAAGGCACTTAGAGTCATCGAGACATTACCTTATATGCCCTGGGTTGTTGTGATTAATATCTTGCAAAATAAAAGCCACCAGCCTTTAACAATGGAAGTGCTTTCACGTAAGCCACAAGTTTACACGCCCTTCATTTTTAATTTCGATAGTGTTAGAAATTCTTGTGTATATGAGGTATTTTCCGATGGGAATGCTCCACCACTTACAAAAGTGTGCAAAACAGATCTAGCATTCACATAGTACATAAATATGTCCTTTAATTAAATTCATTTGTCTATTCTTAGTTTGTTTTAGCGTAAACACTTTTCATACAGGATTAAACCAATCATAACAGTCCTGTATTTTGCCATTTACCTTACAAAAAATTAAGCAAAGGGCACGAAACTACGCCATCCTTCGCTTTAACTGACGCATTTTCCCTATAGATTAGAAACAACAGATTAATCAAAGAACAATTTAACAGTAAAGTGCGCTTCACATGTTTTCCCCGGGTTTTTTTCTGCGCGTCTACTATGCTTTACACTGGAAGGACATTTACGAACCCACCGGGAAGTCACCGACCTTGACACCATAATCATAAATAACCTGGTTAGACAAGAGAGGAAGAAGAAAAATTTTAGGATCAAAATTAACTTCTATAATCAAAGTAAGTCAAATTTATCCACAATTATATAAGCCTTACATCTGTTTGCGGAATTTCGCAAAAAACCGCAGACATTGTGGCTGCTTAACACTTGATTACTGTGAATGAGCGCAAACAAATATTTCGGAATTGCTTTTGAAGTCGTAAGGCCTTATTTTTGAGCCGTGGCTTTTAGTTGATTTGTAGGATTCTTAATTCGGAAGTGATTATTTAATCCCAACCTTCGTCTATTTACGACGTAATGGGGTATTAGCCATCTTTCGCTGGTCATATTTTGCGGAGAAAGCAAGTCCAAATCGCTTTTACCAATTAGGTCTGAGGTAATACATTTACTTCAGGGGTGGAAAAGTGAACTTCTGCATCCAGTCGGTAATGTGACGGGATTTCCATTTTACCAAAAGCTATAAAAAGACTGCTCTCTGAAATGTGTGAGTTTATTTTCTCACGTTCATAGTTCCACAGCGTTATGACAGGCACAACAGGAAAACAACGAAATTATTTTCTTGTCTCATTTAGCTTTTTTCTCATACAAGGTATTCGTGGACTACTATAAAAGGCCACTTCGTCTCTAATGGTGTCGAAATTGCGCTCAATGTGTACGCAGTGGCATTTGCTATCATTAAGGCATTATATTTTATACTCTGTGGTGTTCTGATTGGTATTTTGGCAAAAGAATGCTACCAACCTTTCAGAACTGAAGTGTCTATATGCAAACCGCCAGCTTCCTAACTTTTTTTCAGATTTGATTGTTGTTGAGAGTGGACTTTGAATAGGCGGTAGGTCGTGTGGGGAACACAAGTATGTGGAACGGATTTGATATTCACGTAGTATTCAAATGGACTCTGCTTAGTAAATTCAGACACCTTTCACTACTTTTGCCGAGCGTTTTCATTTTATACGACAAATGGAGATTCTCATTCCAAATATAGCTGTACTTATTGATTTGTTTTCAACCGATTAAATTAATTTTAAATAACTGACATTAAATTTAAGCTTGGGTTGGCACATTTAAAAATATCGAAGAATATTTAAGAACAACTTTAAAAGCTGAAACTTAAGAAAATTGCACAGCAGGGTGTATGAAAATACCGTGATTTAATTTATGCTACAGATTAGCGCAATAGGTTTTGTATAAATGGGCTTTTTAGGTGAGGTGTGAGGGCTAGGGCAGCCCCTTGGCTGGGAAATCTTTTTTATTTTTGCAGAGGAGGGAGAGGACACGCCTCGACTCTACCATACAACTGATTATTTGTCGAGACCCAAATAACGGCTTCATGAAAAACCCTAAATACTTTACCAAGTCTTATGAAAAGTGGAAGAAAGCAGAGACAAGGAAATATACTATTCATCTTTAATTCACGTGGAACCAAAAATAGCTGAGTGAATATCTAGTATTTGTCGTCTATTAAAAATGGCAGTTTAACAATGCGTTAAAGAAAAGTAATGATATTCACCTTGTTCCAGATTCCACCGGAAGGGTGGCCATGAATTTGTTTAAGTTTTCGCACTGCACCACATTATTTCTTTTGTTGAAAGTCACTTTGAGCACACACATCTTCAAGCAATTGGTCTGGAGCGCAGTACCATTCAGAAAAAAACAATTGATTACAGGCTTGATTTTTGGTGCTTAAGGCATCGTATCGCTGGTGAGTGGATTTGATGCTTAAGTTGGACAGGTGAGAGGTAGACATGTAAGCCAACTATCACATAACAAAATTAGCAGGCCGGAAAATGTTTAAAAACGTCAACAACGTTAAATGTTTTGACAGTTTCTCTATTTGATGAAATAAGGAACATAAGATTTTTGAATTTGCTCTCTTGCTTCAAGGAGGAGTTTTCAAAGTATTCACTCCCGCCATATCGTTTGACACTTTTATAGCCTTTAAAATGAGATTGTATTTTGATACAAGAGCAATTACTGTCAGTTCAACTTCCTAAATTATTTCAATTTTTACTTTTAGCTGCAAACTTTGCTCTGATTGTGCATTGTTTCTAACCGCTTCCTTCAAGTAACTATAAGAAACTAAAATGAACTTACCAGCGAAAATCCTCGTAAAGAAATGGAGTGTAGACGTCATTAGTAAGAAAAGCATTCCCCTCCGATAAGATGACACCCTTCCTTAACTGAGGACTTTCTTCCAAAATGTCAGCAAGCTTTCTTATAATCAACAAGAGCAGCATGTGTAGCTATGTAGTCCATTTAATGTAGATGATAATTAAACCACATCTGTTATTATAAGCAGACATTAATTTTCCCCCATTTTAGCCTAAACTATCTCACATTTGCCGGCTAAAATGCTACTTCCTGCATTCTGAATGTGTACATAAGGGCTGTAAAATGCGAATAGATTTACTAATTTTCTTAACTATTCTCAATAGATACGTTTTTTAGACCACGAATTTTAAAACTCACTCGCTTTTGGTCTGCAAAATTGAATTAAGCGCTTACTTTTGGGACAAATTAAACACAACGAACACGTTTTTATTCCGTCAAGGCGCGTAGTCATCCAAACGAAAGTGAGAGCTAAATTCAGACAATGTTTTGAAGGCTGTCGTTTCCACTTCTTGCCTCCACGCCTTTCATTCTTAACCACGAAGTGTTTTGATAACAAAGAAAGAGGGAACTTATCAAATCACCGCCTCAGTTTAATGAAATTCAGCGATATGCTATCCTTTTGTTAGTGTCTATTGCAATTGGTGGTAGCATTAATGCATTGTCTTTTCCGTGGAATGGCCGAACAAAATCATGCGTAATTGGTTAAAGTAACACTGTGGAACCACTGGTTCATCAGTTTTGATCACCCTGCTGGTACTGAACACGAATTTTGCACTGGATAACCTTTAAAATAGCTAGGCAATGTAAACACACATTTCTGATATTTTTTCCTTTCTCTGACTGGAATATTTGAATTTCACAGTAACTATAGAATTTGTTTCGAATTGTAAAACTATTAGCTGAACAGGCAATTTAGCCCTACCTTACTTTTTACCTTTCCACAGCTATGTCTTAAAAATTTCAATATTTATAAACCAACTTTAAATATAATTGTATACGATTTATCTACGTTTGTGTGAGTCAAAACGGTGTCTTTCAAATCTTGCAATAAAACACTTTTGATCTGCCTTGAAAATACTAGATTTCTCAACTCTCCTTTCGTAACATTTGGAAAGCCATCTTCACTGGGTACACTTTGTGAAAAAAATAAATTCGTAACGTTCATGTCCTTCACAAGTAGCTCTAGCATTTTATCAACTATTATTTCGAGAATTGTCTGTAATTTTGGAGTTTTACTGCCACATTCAAAAGCATGTGAAAGGAAACGAAGTGAATCACCCGACAGTTTGCGCTGAAATGTCCATCATTAGCACTGGCACTCTACAGACGTGGCAGGAATTTCTGGGCTTGGGTAAATGATTAGCACCATGCTTGGAAGCTGGGCTCTTTTCAGAAAGCGGTAAGTAGACTTCAAACAGAGTTAAGGGTTATCACTTACACTAATCTTTCAAATTTGTCATTTATCAACTAAATGCATCGAAGTTATCTTAGGTTAATTCGACTAAAATTTAATTTTTCCGATGGACGATTACGAATATTCAAAAACATTTAGGTAGCCTATCGAGGTGCTAATTTCATAAAACAGGCCCCTAAATGAATAATTTTTAGCAGTGCCATTATTTAATGAGCTCTTTTTAGATTGAATTCCAAACACCAATTTGATTTAAACATGCAAAATAAAAAAACGCACATTTTATCCATGTTTTTATTAAGAACGATAGGTACAAATTATTTTTCTTGAAAATAAAGCATTTTTAAATAACACATTCGCCTAATCATGTAAAATTTTGCCTGCATTGGGTAAGAAAATTCTTTCAAGATGTCTTGTGATTACCTCCGAGTAGCAGTCAATTAAATGTGTCATCCCTTTTGCGTTTGAATCAATGCTGAAAAATTCCATGCTTAGACAGACCTAACAACATGTCAAATCAAACACTTACAGCAAAAAGAAGAAACTTCCTGCTGCAGATACAAAGCAGCCTCATGGCTGTCATTCTGTCTTAACCTATACCTTTTGTACGACCGTTAAACAAGCCGAACAACGGGATGTATGACGAGGGAAAAGGTAGCTTATCAGCCGCCTATAAACTGTCAGCCAATCAGACATACACAGTATATTAAAAGAGGTTTTGGAAATTCTTGCCACAAAATTAAACTAATGTCAAAATTGAGTATTAAAATAAATTGTTGCTTTGCCAGGCTATTCATCCTTCTACAAGCATTAGCCACCTGTTCTTGATTGGAGCAATATTACAGTCTTCCCTTTGCTAGTACATGTCAGTTTCTTCGAATTTCCTTTCAATTTTTCTGGATAGTGGAGCAAATTAGACTTTAGGTACAGATAAATTGCGGTTATTTCTGTGACTTTTGCTCCCTTTCTCATCTCTAGGAAGCATTAACGGTAGCCATTAATTTATACTCCGTTTCTAGGTTTGCCCTCTGACAAAAACCCGTTTAAGTGATTGAGAGCGAGTAAAATTAGATTCCTGGCGCCTATTCCCTCCTAATATTTTATTTGAATATCTCATTGTGCTTCTTCAGATCTT